ATCCAACCGGATCGCTACCACCCCCTGCTGGGGATCAGCTCTCAGCAGGGGCCCAGAAGGCCCTGGGGAAGCACGGTCCGGCCTGGAGCTGTGTGCTCTATGGGGCACAGGTGCTATTTCCATCACTGCCGCCTACAGAAGGGAAAGGATTCACACAGGAAGGTACATCTGGAAAGGGAACAGCAGTGAGCTGGTTTCAAAGAAGGCACACGACAATGGGATTTCTATTTCTGGGCCAGCAGACAACCCCTGGCCAGGGGCAGGGGGCACCTGGCAGAGGCGACAAAGAATCCACTTTCCAAGTGTCTTGCCAATCAGATCAAAGGGGCTTTAAATGGAAAAGGAGGAGAGAAGAAGAAAACTGCAGAGGTAGATACAGCAAGACAGATTCCACAGAGAGGAACAACAGAGCAGAAAAAAGACGAGCAGGAAAGATGCCCAAAAATTCATAGAAGACAAAATCCCAGGAAGGAGCCAGGAGGCACAGGATGTGGGAGTCAGCAGGGACCCCACTGGCCTCAAGTGCCACCCACGCCTGTAACACACCCGACCAGAGGCCCGCCTCAGTGGGCCTCTCTGCCCCTTCCCTCCATGGTCCCTGGTTCTGCCCCCGAGTCTAAGTGACAGGCCTTCACATATCCAAAGGGCACTCTGCCATCTCCCCACCCCGTGCCGAGGCATGTTTTCTCCAGACCAGCACTCACAGTCCTCATGGGACGTGGACTCCAGGCCATTCATCACACTGGCCCCTCCCTTCCTCTGGCCACTCTCCAGCTGATCCACAGCCTTCTTAAGGGGCCCCCAGCCCTGAACATCACAGGCCACATGAGATCCACCTCAGGTGGCAGAGAGGGCCCACCACCTCCTTATTCCCGGACACTTGGACCCCCTTAATACCACCCAAGCTCCTCTGAGCTTTGTGGGCAGCCCCATCACCCTGCTGACTCCCTGAGCTTCCAGCCCACCAAAAAAAAGGCCAAGTTCTTTTTCAGACCAACTGTTGTTATCTAACCAAGCCTCCCCCTGGCTGTCCTTGGGCAGCTGATTGTTTTTTCTATCCAACCCAACACTGTGCATTTACTGCTATTAGATTTCCTCTTATTAAACATAGCCCAATGCTCTACCTGGCCTGGCAAGATCCTCAGGTGTGTGGGCTCTCCCTCCCAGCTTTGTATCAGCTGCAGATCTGATAAGCACACACTTTGGCCTTTAACCAAATCATTAAGCAGGTAAAAAAGCCCAGTTCCCTGGGAGACCTCTGCCAAGCTGACACGAACCATTAGCAGCGACTCTCAGAGTTCAGCAACACAACCAGTTTGGAATCCATCCAACTGTGTTCTATCGCTCCATCTTTCCCAAGAGAACAGGTCCCAGCTACTTTATCGGACATCTGCTGAACTCCAGGTAAATTACTGGCTCTCACACTTCCCTGATCTATCAGGGCAGTCGGGTAGCTTGTCACAGTGGTTCTTGAGGAAACTCCCAGCAATCGCAGTCGCTGCTTACTTTTGGAGACTTTCCCTAATCACGTCTTTTGTTGGTCCACAATTCTCCCAGGAATCAAAGCCAAGTTCACTGTCCCACAGCCACAGAGGCGCCTCTCTTCCCTTTTTTTGAAAACCAAGTTGTCTGTCCTTCCCTCCCCCTGCCATCCCACCTTCACGTGACTGACAATGGCTCAGCAGTTAGAGCCCCTAGACTGAGGGGCTCCCCAAAAGGTTTCGTTCCCCTGCACTCACAAAGGGCAGCTCAGGACTCTCCATCTCCATATTCATCTTGGGTATCAAATCCCTCTACATCATTTCTGTTCTGTCCTTCCCAATCCAAAAGTCATTCATTCTTCTTCATGGGAAGATATAAACAAACTATGAATGGAGCATCTCGGCCTTCCCTCTGGTCAGCTACAGCTCTCCCACTCCCAGAGAAGGTCCTTCCCTGTCTTTGCGGTCCTTACAGGTTCTCTGGCCGGCCCTAACTCCCCCCACAGATCCAGCATGTTGTCAAATCATTCCAATAAAGTTCTACCTTCCCGTCCCGTCCCTCCCCAACACCATCCCTTCCTCTCCGTTCACCCCGGCCATTTCTCTGATGTGGGCCCTTGTAACCTCTCACCTAGACTACTGCCGTAGACTTTGGGCTCATTACTCTGCTCCACCTCTTCTCACTCCATTCCATCCATTACAAGGCTGCCAAAGGGATTTTCTTAAAAGTGCAAGTCTAACCATGAAACTCCCCTTCCATAAAACTCCCCTGGCTCCCTATTACCACCAAGGCCAAAAATAAAACCTTTGCAACCAACCTTTGCAACTTATTGTACCCTTTACACATTCTCTGGTCCAGTCAATTTGGCCTTCCCATTGCTCTCCATCTAAAACGCTTCATTTTCCATCTCCAAGCTTTCATCCAGGCTGTCTGTCCCCTGTGCCTAGAATGCCCTCCCTCCTCATTCCTGCCTCTCAGCCTTCCTAACTTCCTTCATGGCTAAACTCCTGCATAAAGCCCTTTCCACTCCGGGGTGCTCGTGACTACGTCTGAAAAGGCGGAGGTTCGATCTAGATTATGAAGGGCCTTAGGGGGATCAGTAGCCTTAGATGTGCTTAAAAGGAAGGGAACAAACATTTATTAAGTTCCTACTATGTAACTGGCACTGTGCTAAGAGCTCTGCAATTATTATTGCCTTAAATCCTCACAACAACCCTGGGGCATGGGTGCTATTATTACCCCCATTTTACAGATGCTGCAATTATCAGAGAAGAGGAAAAAGGCCAAGCAGCTTGCCTTGGTCACCCCGCTAGTTAGGGGTCCAAGAGAGGCTCTGAACCCAGGGTGACCCAAGCTGTCTCCCGGCAGTGGTCAGACTAGACAGAAGAGGATGTCAAGAGCGTTTGGGGCCACACCGGTCACTGAAGGAGGGGACGGCCAAGGTCAAAACCTGCCAAGAGCTTGAGAAGGAGCCAGGGTATGGCCACAAGGAAATCCCAGGTGAGGGCAGCTTGAGAAATGGGGGGAGAGTAAGGAAGTGGATATCAACAAGTAAAGATGTCTTTTTCTCAGAATCTGGCTGCGAATTGGAGGACAGAGACTCACAGGGTACTCTCTCTGCCCCCACCCCAAAGATATCAGCCTTTGACCTGCTTGTTCCCTGTGCCCAAACATCCACTCTCCCTATGTTTACCTTCCAGCCTCATTGGACCTTACCCCCCCTGTCCCCACCCTCCCAGGAGGAGGCCAAACTGGCCTTGCCTTGGCTTCTTGAACGTGGCATTCCATCTCCTGTCTCCATGTTTCCTCTGCTTGGAATGCCCCCCATCCTCACTTTCTACACCGACATCATCCCTCTTTGACATGATGCCCTTCCTGATCCCCCTCTCTGCTATATATATAGATTTTGTTGATAATGTATCTATGTCCTAGTTGCTATCCCCTTAAAATACCAGCTCCTTGCAGGCAGAATTGCTTCAAAATTGTTTCAATCTTTATCCTGGTGCCTCCAGTTGCCTGGCACATAGTAAGAGCTTCACCACAGCTTGCTAACTTAATGATGTGTGGAATGAAGGAGCGGGAGTAGATTCAAAACCAGGTCTTTCCCCCTCCAAAAAAAAAAAAAATTTGACTTCAACATTTTAAAGTCAATGACTCTGCCCTGAATGTCTCTCACTTAAGGAACTGGAAATCCCACCCCATCCCAGAATCACCCAATCAGAGGTCAAAGACAGATCTCGACTCCTCCAATCTGCAGATGACCCAAAGTCAGGAGGGATGGCTGACATGCTGGATGATAAAGTCAAGACCAGAAAAGAGTTTAGTAGACTAGAGTGCTGTTCTGACTTTATTAAGAGATTGAATAGGAATAAATGTCAAATCAAATGCTTGGGTCACCCCTCCAAAAAAATACAAGCAAACCAGGAAAGTGTAGATGGAAGAAACAACTCTAACCTACATCTCCCGAGTCAGACATCTAGAGGACTCAGGTCCCTTCCCACTGTAACACCTTGAGATTGATCAACTTCATCCCTCAATCTCATCAAGCCTTTCTCTTCCTCCCTCAGAGAGGGGAAGTCCTTGTGATGCTCAGGTCTGACATTCTGTCAGGAAAAGCATCCAAAACCACCAGGCTTCTAGAAAGGCCCTCAGACTCGTGGAGCCAGCATCAGTAAAGTAACCAGGCTGACCGAGATGGCAGCAAGGGCCTACGAAGCTGTATTCCCAACAGTCTTGGGCCAAAGTCAAGCAGTCAGGAGACTAAGACCAAGTCTGTCCCAAGCTGCCCCTCAGTCGGGTGTGGTGGACAGAGCCACCGGGTCCTGGAATGGAATCCCACCTGTCCCTCACTCCCTGTCTGACTCTGGGCAAGTCTCTGGCCCTCTCTGGGCCTGATTCCTCATCAGTGAAATTGAGAGGGAGAAGACTGGATGAGCTCTAAGGACCCTCCCAGCTTTAATTGTTAGGAGATCTCAGGGAGCTTGTCAGACATGAAGTTAAAGCTCAGTGTTACTTCTGAGCTCTCCTGTTTCAAAGCAGCTGTTCCAGCCCTTCCCTGTGGGGCTCCCAAGTTCCAAGGCTGACCAGGAACCTGTCAGGCAGGTCTCCTGGCCATCAAGCAGGAATGGGAAGGGGAGATGGGGGGTGGGGCTCTGCAAAGCGCCTAGGGAGGCAAGAAATGCAGGGAGACCTTGCACAGGCGCCCATAAGCATACGGGGGAAACCCCAGGGATGTGTGGGAGAAGCCCTGAGGGCGTATGGGGGAGCCCCTGAACAGTACAGGGGTGCTCATGGGGAACATGCCCAAGGGTGTATGAAAGGAGCTCTGGGGGAGCATGGGGGAGACCCTGCACGGCACCCATGGTGTATTGGGAGACCCCGGCGGGGGGTGTCCCGGGGACATATGGGGGAGCATCTGCACAGGGACCCACGGGTGTATGAGGGAAGCTAGTGGATGTATGGGGGAGCCCCTGAAAGAAGCCCCGCCCCCGCCCGCCCCCCCAGCCCCAGCCCCATACCCTGATAGTGCGAGACCGGCTCCGGGATCTGAATGGTCACGTCCAAGTCGGCAGAGCCCATTGCGGATAGCGGGGCCCTTCTCGGATTCCCTCCCGGGAACCCTCCCTCCCTCCCAGGCCGGAGACCCCAGCACCCAGGACTGGGTCCGGGCTCCGCGCACGCTGGGACCCTCCCTTTCCGGTCCTTCGCACCTCCTCTTGCACGGAGAACCGGAAATCCCTCCTCTGACCCAGAATTACCCAATCAGAAACCAGAAACGCACTGTGACCTGCCCGGGCTTCATGGCAACGGCCCCACTCCGCCCCTGCTCGGGCCGTCGCGTCCGCAGCCATAGCAACTGCGCCCACTCGCCCCCTGACGTCACGGCGTCCCGCCCCAGAGGCCCAGAGCGCTTCGCCATTGGCTGCTGCCTGGCAGCGAAACCACGGATTGGTGAGGAGGAGTGCCCATCGGAAGGCTTACCGTCGAGAGGGTGAGGTAAGCAGATGTGGGGGCTCTCCGGGATTGGGGCTGCGGGGGCGGCCTCAGTCTGTTCTCTCCGCTCGCTGCTGCGCCCGGGCTGACGGAGGTGGAGGGGAGGAGGGCAGAAAGCAAACGGGACCCAACGGGAACTCCCCGCCAACTCCAGCCCCTTGTACAGAGCGGGAAACTGAGGCTCAGACATTGGGCTAGGCCCAATCTCCTCAGACTGTGGGAGCCGAAAATCCAACTGCAAAAGTGTTTAATTAAGACCGAGAAGCAGCAACGTGAATAACTCAGTCGGACAACAAGCATTGATTAAACGCCTACTGTATACCAGGCTCTATGCTTAGCACTGGGGATGCAAAAAGAGGCAAAAGACAGTCCTTGCCCTCAAGGAGCTCACAGTCTAAGGGGGAGACAATATGCAGACAACTGTGTACAAATAAGCCTTGTATAGGATAAATTGGAAATAATCAATAGAGGGGAGACTAGAATCAAGAGGGATCAGGAAAGGCGTAGAAGTTGTGATTTTATCTTGGACTTGAAGCCAAGCGACAGAGATGAGGAGGGAGAGCATTCCAGGCAGGGTGCACAGCCTGCCACCGTGCCTGGAGGCAGGAAACGAAGTGCCATATAGCACCTCCCCATCTTTCCCGTCCGTACACCTTACAACACACACATATTCTGATCCAGTTTCTCTGGTTTTTGCTATTCCACATACAAAACACTCCCTCTGTCATCTGGGGATTTCCTCTGGCTCTCCTCCAAGACTGGAAGGCTTTCCCTCTTCATCTGTGCCTCCTGGCTTCTCTCAAGTTCCAGCAAAATCCCACCTTTTACAGGAATCCTTTCCCATTCTCCCTTAATACTAGTTCCTTCCCTCTGTTTCTTATTTGTCCTGGCTATAGCTCGTCTGTACATATATTTGCTTATTGTCTCCCCCGTTAGAGCATGTGCTCCTTGAGGGCAGGGACTGTCTTTGGCCTTTCTTTATAACCCCAGCACTTAGCACAGTGTCAGGCACACGGTAAGTGCTTAATCAGTGTTTATTAACTGACTGACTCCTGTGAGAAATAGCAAGAAAGTCAGCTTGCCTCAGCTCAAAGGGGGCTAAAAAGGGAGTAATGAATGATGAGCCCAGTTAGGTAGCTGGGAGTCGGGCCATGAAAGGCTTTAAACGTCAATAGAGGAGTTTGTATTTGATCCAGCTAGAGGCAATAGAGGTTTGCTGAGCAATGAGGTGACATGGGCCAGACCTGTGTTTTAGGAATATTAGTTTGGCAACTGAGTGGAGGAGGATGGATTTGAGAAATGTCTGGAGGCAGGGAGGCCAGGGAGGAGGCTGTTTTCAGAAGTCCAGGGGAGAGGTGATGTGGGAATCGAGCAGTAGGATCTTTCTCAGCCACATTTACCCTGAAATCCCACCTTTAACAGAAATCCTTTCCCAATCTCCCTTAATACTAGGACTTGGAGCCTGGCTCCAAGGAGCCAGGAAGCCTGAGAGACACACATGAGGCAGCATGTGCACCAGCACCACCTTGACCCCCATTTCCCCTCAGGCCCTGATGGACAGAGCCCAAGATGCTGACCCCAAGAGCCTTGGGAATAGAGTGCTTCCTGCCCACTGCCTGCAGCCATCCCCCTGTGGAGATGTAGCCTGGTAAATGCTCCTGCAGGGGCCTGAGGACCCAGAAAAACTCTTGTCACCAAAGTCCTTGGCCCTGTCAGATGGCTCAGTGTCAGAAACTACTATCATTTTATTGGTGGAAATGACACTAAGAAGAGGCCTAACCCTCTGCTTGGCTGTTACACCCTAAGGACCAGGGGACCTTTCCATCTGACGTGCAGCTGAACCCTTCCCTAGGGGTTGTCTCCCTCACTAGACTGGGAGCTCCTGGGGGTCAGGGACCATCTTTTCTATTTGTATCCCCAGCACTTAGCACACAGTAAGCGCTTAATAAATGCATCATTCACTCTTGGGGCCCCCTCCCCCGCCCCGGGGGGGCAGCTGATGGGTGATGTAGTGAAGCCCCTTGGCCCAGTCCCAGAAGCCTCCAGATTCTGCTGGGAGCTGGCTTTCAGGATATTCATGGCTCAGCAGCGCCAGGCCCTCCTGTTCAACCTCCTCTCTCCACTTGCCATCCCCCTCTCTGCTGGCCACCTGGGCTTCTCCAGGCTTTTCTAAACCTTTCACTTTCCAAGAGATTCCTGGCCAGACTCCTTGCCCATAGAGACCACTATCCTGGGCTAGACACGCAGTCTTCTAGAAAATTCAGTCCAGAGAATTTCTTCCAGTGAGCACTGTTCTCTGGCCTCCAAGCATCATGGGAAATGAAGCCCTAGGAAATTTCGTCCTCGGCTCTGCCACCGTACAGAGAATATCAGGAGCATATCCTATTGACCTTCCCAATACAATGACGTGTGGAGAGAGCATTGGATTTGGAGTCAGGTAAATGGAAGGAAGGTCACAGACATGATGTACCTCTATTTGAGCGAAGCCTTTGATAAAGTATCTCAGACTTGTGGAAAAGATGAGAGATAGTCCTGCTCTATTCTGCCTTCATCAGGCCTCCTCTGCAACCCTGTGTTCAGTTCTGGGCTGCACAGCTTTGGAAGGGTCTTGGTAAACTGGAGTGTCCAGAGGAGGACAGCCGTGATAACGAAGGGTTTGGGGCCCTGTGTCATATGGGCATCAGCTGAAGGAGCTGGACAAGTTAAGCCTGGAGAAGAGATTCTAATAGCTGTATTCAGGTATCTGAAGGGCTGTGTCGCGTGGAACAGAGATGAGCGTCCTTCTCTTTGGCCTCAGGGTCAGATCCAAGAGGAGGAGGGGAGAAGTTGTAAAAGTTCTATTCTGATTTCATAAGAATCCCTGCAATTGTGTGGTGAGGGGATACTAAAGGGACTTAAGGATTGGGGTTAAGGGAAGATTCTAGGGAAGGATGCCAGATTTGGGGAGTGGGGGGGATCTCTCAAGGAACTTGCATCTTCTCCCGGTGCCCAAGGCAGAACTTGGCACATGGTAGGCCCTTAATAAATGTTTGTTGCAATAACAGTTCCTTTCCGTTGTGACAGAGTAAATATTCATGATAATGCTCAGAGCCCCCACCCACTGAAGCTCCCTTTCTTAGGTCAGTCAGGATTTGCCGCATGACTGCTCATCATAATAAACACAAAAACAGTTTAGATCAAAGTGTCATGGTAAATGCTCCCAACACCTGTAGCCTAGGAGAAATCATGCTATCTCCTCACAACCGCTGCCCCCAGAGAGAAGACCATGAGTCCAACTTTCTCCTGGCCCTTCCGTGGTCAGTCTAGGGAAGTTGTACATGTTGGCATGATGAACTGCCCCAAAGATGACAAGAAGGGTGCTACTTTCTGATGCCTCTGTCATCTCACAGATGAGGGGTCAGGAACTGGCTGCTGCTGTTTTCACCCGCCCAAGGCCTAGGGGCAAAGCTCCCACGTCCAAGTCTGCATCTCAAAGGTAGAGGTAAAGCAGGAATGCCTCCAACCCTGTCGGACACGAAGCCCTGCTCTCAGACAGAATCCCCCCAACCACCAGCCGCAGCAGCTGACACCACCTCCCCTCCGTCACGTCCACATTTTTCCAGCAATCTTTCTGAAAACCTCTACCTCTGAAACATCCCCACGTTTAATGCTTCCTGAGATGAAGCAGACTCAGGTCCCAAAGTCTTCGGGGATCATGAAGCACTGGACCTCTGAAGAGACAGCTTACAGTTGAATCAGTTAGTTAATTAGCGAGCGTTCATTAAGGACTGATGGTGCCGGGCCCCGTGCTAAGTGCTGGAGATGCAAAGAAATCAATGAAGGAAAGTCAAGAATTTATTAAGGTCTTAGAGCGTGTCAAGCACTCTGTTAAGGGCTGGAGATACAAGAAGTGAATGAATGAAATAACATCGAATAAGTAGTCACCGTACTGAGCACTGAGATACAAATAGAGAAGTAAGACAAGGCCTGCTGTCAAGGAACGTCCGTTGTAATGGGGAGACAACATACAGGGAAGGTTTCAGCTTTATACAAGTCAGAGGAAAAGGTCCCATGGTCCTTAGGGTGCAGCAGCAGCGAAGTAGATGGTCATGCCTCTTATATAGCATCATGTGCACTGATAAAATCCTATCTGCTTCTGGTGTTGACAACGCCAAGGACTCTGGTGGTGGGACCTTTCTTTTGAGTCTTAGGTAGCTGTGGCCACAGCACACACAGAAGCGTTGGTCAGGCCATCACTTCACCAGGCTTGCTTCCTGGAATGCTGGCTGTAAGGGCTGGGTTGGCCAGTGGTCTGGGATGGGGGGATAAGGAGAATGGAAGAGTGCTGCTACTCCTAGGACTTTTGGGTTTAGCTGCCCACCCATGGAAAGTGGTCAGCAGTTGCTGATGGTGACAAGCAAGGTAGGTCCCTTCTCCATAGTGATTGCTCCCCTCATTTACGGCAGTGGGGCTCAGGCTAGAAGCAGGGTTAATGATTTGGGGGGCATTGCTATTCCCAAGAATTTTGGATTCAGGATCCTTGCTATCTCCATCAAGATTGACGGGTGGTGGCGGTTGGTTGAGGTAGTAATTTGGCTTTCTCATCATATGTTGCCTCCTCCCCCTGTTCTCAAGAAGCTCACATTCTAATGGATGGATGGAGGGATTGATGGGTGGAGGG